GTGTTAAGGCAGGAGGATTGCTGGAAGTTAAGAGTCAAGACTAGGCTACAGAGTGATAACCTGTCTCAAAACAACAAATAAACTGAAGCCATGAAATGATTACGTACCTGCATTTCAAGAGGCTCTGAAGTAGTAATGTTTTTGTAGAGTACTGTTTTGTTCCCCCGACCTTACAGCTGAAAATTTACATGCTTTTCACTTCTTAAGCTTCAAAAGCATAATATATTTGGCATTAAAATTTGTATTCTTTTTTTTTAAAAAATCTCTATTATTTTTTTAGATTCTAATATCTGAAATCATGAACTGGTTCAAAAAGTGCTGACATATTAGTCTGATTTCATACAGAAACACATTATGCCTGCCTGGCTTGTAGTAGCAACCAGAGACTTGTGAATTAGATAAACATCCTCAATCTTCTTCTCCATGTCTTAAACCTTAATTTCTTTGACATTTGGTGATTTGCTTTCCCAATTTTCTGTTGTAAAACCTTTCATTTTAGTATCAGCATTCACTTAACCTATCATTTGAATGACTTACTCAATAAAATTCAGATTTCCATTTAACAAAATAGCTTTTATTTCTCTCAGAGACATTGCAAGAAAAGGACTTATCTGTTAAGTTTTCCCCTCATAATTATGAATTAAAAATAATAGGGATTTCCCAAAGTAGGAAAAATTTCCTGTACATGGGGTTCATTAAAAAAGTAAAAGTGACAATAACAGGTATGCAGAAATGTAATTGCTTTGGAGACATTTCCTATATGCTGATAGACATTTGACTTGATTGAATGTCTGGTGCACTTAAAATTAAGCCAAGTAGAAATTTATTTTTTTCACTTTTTTCCAATGTGTGTTATCTGGAACACTTCTATCACCAGAGCTCCTTTGTGAGACAACACCTTATACCTCTCCCCCATTAAATATCATAGTATAAATATTTTCAAAGTGTTTTCTTTAATCTCTAGTAGCAAAGAAAGATGATTAATCTTGCTTACCCCATTGCTTACCAAATTTATTTACTAGAGGAATCTTCGTTTTACATCAGATCAATGAACATATTCTGGGAATATTGATTCATAAGCAATTACTGCGAGTATATTTTAGCAGTGATTTAACAAAGAGATTTTCAGTTTGGTGAAACATCAGAGGACAGCTTGCTACGTTTTAGGCTCTGAAATATTGTCCTCTAGAAGGAGGCAGACAATTGACCACTGGCTATCTATATAACAGCAATACACTGAAAACATACTTCTAAGATTTAAACTCTTAGGCGTTTGCCAGTGCCACTTTGCAGATGACAAGTAAAGCATGTACTTCATGCTTTGGAGTATGAAAATTCAAAAACTATTGTGACAGTAAAATATTGAATAGCACTGAATACAACTGGCTTTCACTGTGAGAGAGCTTAGAAGTTACTGCCAACATATAATTTACTGCAAGCACTCAAACTGTCTTCTTCATCTTATGACTCACTGAAGTCCCAGTCTTGGAAGGTTTCTAGTTCTCATTTGACTTAGATAATCAAAACAGATTTACCATGATCTATCATTATGCCTCTGCTTAGGTGTCCTCTTCCTAATAGTATTCATCCACTTTATGACTCACCGGTACCCATGAGAATTCTGCATACCTTCATATCACTTGTCCTCAATATCACCAAGGTGACAGCTGTTTATCCACACTTCTGCAAGGTAGTCATATGTTTTATCTTTCATTTTCTTTAATTAGGCTTTGCTTTCCTTTTAGTCAGTACACATTCAGTAAAAAAATTATTATTGGGAAATATAATATTCTACTAACATTTTCCTGTTCTGAAGCTGTGCTTTGCTTACTATTAATGATGTTGTACATACAATAGATACTTAAAATTGAAAGGCAGAGCAACCTAAGAACTGAGTCTGAAAACCCCTTTAAAATAGGAGAACATTAATATTCAGATTGCAAATCACATACTGAGCTTTCAACTAATTTACAACTTGGTATTTTATATGCAAATGAGAAATTCTAAATTTAAGACTCAAATATTATTGGTATTTTCTTATTGTCACTTGGTACTGACCAATTTTGGTCAAATTTAAATTATATATATATATATATATATATATATATCACACATATATATGCACATGTAATTATATGTGTAATTTTTGTAGTGATTCCTAGCCCCAGCCTGTCTGGAACTCACTGTGTTGGCCAGGCTTGACTGTCTCCTGAGTGCTGAGATTAAAGGAGTGTGCCACCATGCCACACATGAAGCATATTTTTTAATTAGCATGGGCCTTGCAAATTATATCGTCATCTTTTTTTCTTAAAAAAAAACACTATTTGAATTTCTCTTTTAAGCATTTATAGTTTTAAATGATTCAGACTTGAAAATAAAGTTTCCAAAAATACTACAGGGCTTTTTTTTTTATAATTTATAGAAACCATGTGTTAATTGTACCGGGATTCTTTTTACTACCACAGGACTTTTCTTGGTCGGTTGTGCTTGCCCCAGCGTCCTAAGGTGTCCGGACTCTCAGTAGTCACCAAAGGCCAACTTGAGACAGAGGCTGAGTTTGTTGTCTCATGCCCATGCCAATGAAAGTCAAGCACATAGACTCGTTTGGAAGAATGCAGTGTGGAAGTAAACTTTAGTAAGGAGAATTATAGAAAAATGAGAAATTGGGGCAAAGTGAAACTTCCAAGAGATGAAGGCATTTCCAAGACAGTTTTATAAAAACAGTCAAACTCCTTTGTCTAGGGGTATTTGTGGCACCATGGTGGAAACTGGACAAACGCTGAGCTGTCTGTTGAGCTTTGTCAGTTCTCTAGAGTACCATGGCCCAACCAATGCAAGACCCAGAGGCTCTCAGCATGTGCCACCCCCGTCCCAACAGGTTGATGATCATGTGCTGCTCATCCAATAAGAGCCATTAAAGTTCCACTATGTCCATCTCAGACCTGTGCTTTTTTAGTTTCTGAACCTGACTGTCTGCTAGCTGTTAGTTACTGGCTGGTGCTGCTATCTCCAACCATGCAGGTGTATCTGGTCTTGTTAATTTTACTAAGCACTCTTTTTTCTCAAGCCACCAAGAAGTAGCTGCATTTGATGTTAGTTAAATCATTGTCTGTGGGATGATCTGGGGTCTCTTTCCTGAAACACAGAACTTTTTGTTAGAAGCCATCTTTACAATTTAGTCTGTTACAATCATAGTCATTAGGAACAGGAATATAAGGGCAGCAGGGCATTATAACTGGAATTATGAATGGCTAGTAGCTGTCATGTGGTTGTTAGGAATGGAACGCAGTTCCTCCACAAGAGCAGCCAATGTTCTTAACCACTGAGCCATCTCTCTAGCTCTCTGGTTTTGTTTTTTGATTTTGGTTTTCTGACTGGTGCTCAGGATACAGCCCAAGGCTTTCTACATGCAAAGCATGTGTTCTCCCAGTGAGCTATCACACTCATGATCCTTGCTTTTTCAATGATTTTTCCCATTCATTTTAAATGTTTCAAAAGAGGCAGGCATCAATATTCCCTAACTCATTTGGTTTCTGTATAATGTCACTGAAACTGTTCTCCCAAAGAGAGCTCATGGCCTGCTACTAGTCAAATGTGCTTAGTATTAGTGTCGTTTGACTATGCCAGCCACTCTCTGAAGCATTTACATTCTCGTAACTTGTGAACATTCTCTCTTATTTCTCTTCCTTCTCTGCTGAATGTTTCTGTTCATTCTTCTTGACCATTCAGTGCAAACACTCTTGTCGTCACAAATGCACACAAGCTAAACCCATGAAAGTAACTCTATGTTTGCTGCCAATTCGGATATCTAGCCCAAGCTTTAGGGTTAAATTCCCAATAATATATCTCCATTAGCTACGAATGGGATATCAAGTACCCTTATAAACATGATTATCATTGCTCATCCTCTACTCACTAGAACTGAGATTAATTCTCCTCATTAAGTTCTCGCTTTTTACTTTGTTCTCTGCCAACTAATCGTTGTTATGTTGTTTTTTTTTTTAATCTGAATTGTTTTCCCTGTCTCTCATGCCATGTTTAAAGTGCAAATTTTTCACTTAGGTATGGCATAAATTTACCTCAATAGTACATCTCTGATCAACTCAAAAAGAAAAGAGCTCCAGTGGTTGTCACTAATGTCATTATATCATAGATTATCATTTATTGTAGACTTATATGTAGAGGGCTTTCATCAATGGATTGCAAATTTCTCAAGTGATCTTTGTGGTTTGCATTAACTAGTCCAATGGCAAAATTTTATACTGATATGTGAATGGATTATAAATAAACCTCTCCTACTTTGTTGATTCTGTGTTTTGTTTTGTTTTTTCAATCAGTTCTGCAAATACTATACTCTTACTAGAGATAGTGATGCTACACTGGAACAGAGACAGTTGGGATTCTTTATATCCATCCATATATTCATGTACGCACTAATAAGATAATAATCTGAACGTCCAAACAAAATCATGTATTTCATGGCAGTCACTGGGAGCAATATCTTGGCCAGTTAATTAAGTAAAATTGCTGTTATCACATCAAGTATGCTAAGGCAAGAAATAAAAGCACATATATTTGTGATTGTTGGTTTCTCCCATGAGTGATCAGTAAATGAAACAGGTACTTGATTTGACACTTCAGCTTAGAAACTGAAAGCTGTGATTTTCATTTAGCCAGTTAGGACCTCTTATCACCTCAAGTAGGTGCTTAAAAAACAACATCATTAGTAGAAACAACAATATCTAGATGCTAACCCAAGGACAAAGGAATAAATGCAAATTTAATACTTTTCAAAGGAAAATATGTACATATTTGATCCCTTGATAGAATCCAATAAACATTAAGCATACTTAGAATTGATATACAGTTTGCTGAGAGTTTCTGTATGTAAATTCCATAATAAAGTTTGAATATGACTTAAAAATACCCACCTACATTTAAGATAAATATTTACATGTAACACCTAAGCAGTCTTTTTACAATCTAAACATCCTTTTTAGGAACTGCTTCTGAGATGAAGATTCCCAATGTCAGGATTTAAACAGAGAAGAGAAAGAATTACACAGCAAAGTAAGTGAATAGCGACGTATAACAAAGTTCTGTTTCACTCTGTCACTGTAACTTGTAAGTCAGATGCCTACAAAACACATGCTATGGTGTTAGCTCATAAGTAGTTCTGAAACATGAACTCGACTGGACTAAAATCTGTTCACTTCTACTATCTTATTTTGATAAATTTAATCTGAAAGACAGAAATGTATGTGATAGACTATGTGATTAGGCCATATGTATTTGTGCCACTGCAGTCCTGGAGTTTCTGAGGATTGCATTCAGGAATGTAACAATGGCTTTCATAGTAAGATATAGTTTTCAACCTCTTAAAATTTGATTATGGTTCAGATTGTCAAAGTCTTCTACATGTGCAGGCAATAGTTAATTTATCTTGATGTTTAAAGGACTATTAAATGATTACAAAAACAATTTTGTTCACAAAATGGTATCTAGTGTCTTGGGTTTTTTATTTTTCTTACTGTGTTTACAACACTGAATGTCAACACTGTATTTATTTAGGGTGTCTCAGTTTTACTCATCCTATTCAGAAATTTCACTGTAGAAATCAGAGCTTGTGGTAGTGGGTGGAGAGAGCAAAGCACAAATAGAGGAAGAGAGATACAGAATCACTTCTGGCACAGAGTAGAGATGCACTGCTCTTGGCCAATTCTCGGCCATTTCACCTCATCAAATGCCCAAGAAAATGTTACAGGGTCACGGTGACACAAATTCCATTTTTCTTTAGCTAGTCAAATTTCAAAAACAGTGCCACCAATTTTAGATTCAGTTTCCTGAAATTTGTAAGCTTTATACAATAATCAAAATCACTTTGGGATTTTATGTTGTCCTATATTCTTTTCCTATTGGTTCCAAAAAAAATTGAAAAAGAAAAAGGGTACAGTCCACTTGGTGGGGAAGTCAAAGGGTAGGCGTTTGATGCATTCCTCACTTTGAATTCTCAGCCAGGAACAGAGAGCAATGGATGGCAGTGCACAGCTCTCTTTCTTCATTTACTGAAGCCCAAGATGTCCTGCCCAGGGAATGATCCCACCCACACTTAAGACAGGTATCCTCACCCCAGTTTATCATCAAGATAAAGCCGCATAGGGAAGCCAGGGGCCCATCTCTCAGGTAATTCTAGATTCAATCAAGGTGATGATTATTACTGACCACCACATATGTACTATAATCCTATATTTACATACTACTTACCTCCTGGAAACAGTGGAGAGAGTCAATGACTTTTCAATTCATCAACATTGATGGTATAAAAATGTTTCTATTTTTAATCTAGCATGGTGCAGTTTTAGTATAAATGTCATTAAAGCAAAAATTCTAAAGGAATGACATAGTTTTAGTGGATTTATTTTTATTAGTATTCCAGGTGGAGTTAGTTGTAAAATTTATACCTTGTAACCATTTTGAACTAGAAAAGTTATTCAGTAGAAAATCTGTTCAAAACAGCTTTGTCATATGTCCACGTTTCTCTTGCCAAACTTGAAATAGATAAGTCATTCAGGAAAATAAAAAATAAAATTTTATTAAAATATAGACTGCTAATTTGTTATTAGCTGGATTTGGGTTAATTATTGTGTCAGGATTTGGGAGCACTTTAAAAAATTTTTTGCTCACAGTTTTAAATGGAAATACCAGTTTTTTACCTAGTTATAATTTTTAAAATTAAACTAGAAGCTCTGCAAATTGTTTTCACTGCCCCTGTGTAGTGTCTACATCCCTGCAAAGGCTAAGCAACCACTTCCCATCTCCACATCCACTGAGGGAGAGATTAATTTTTAATTTTTCCAGCATCATATTTTATTTTCACTGAATTCTATTATATTTCTTAGGCAGCATTTACAGCAACTGATAACTTGTTTTGTCTTTTTCATTCAGTGTAAGTTCTAAAAATATAGCACAGGAATTCTGTCAGTTTCTTTGTTGGTAGATGTGATGTTGGTTTCAGATATACCCGTGGAATAATAGTTTCCATACTGACAGGGAAGCATGTGCCATAGTGGTACTAAAAGTCTTCCCCCTCCAAAGATGTGACTTTTATTTATGGCATTAGATGGATTTTTGGTAATATTTGTTAATCTTCTGCATCAAATCACTTTTACAGAAGAAACAGCTTAAATAGTTAAAATTGAAGATCAATGCAGAATACCAAAACTTAATGTGAGCTGTTGTTTTATTTCTTAGCCAGCGGCTTATGTCTTCCCCACAGCTGTAAAATTTCTCACTACACAGCAATCTCTTTACTAGCAAGAGGATAAGTAGAGGGGGTTGGAAATAGCATTGCTGCAGCATAGGTGACCCCAATCCCTTGGACAGCAAGTTTCATTTTTCCTTATAACCCTCAGAGGAGTGCTTGCCTAACCACCCATCATAATGTGTAGAGTTTACTTTTAAGATGGTCAGGTAATATTTCTTGAACATAAACTTTTGGCTGAAATAACTTGAAACTTAAGTTTATTAAACTTTTACATACTTAACTATGGCCTGTGGAGTACTTTAAATATGCAGCCATTTGGCTTCAGGTCCACTTTCTTAACCCCAAAATATGCAGCATGAAGTAGATGAAAAGTTACTGGGTAAATTACCATTTCCAAATCCTTAGTGTCATATTTCTGCCAGATAATAAAGAACAAATATACAGTATCACACAGTGAGAAACACCAGACCATTACATTTTATGAAAATTAAAAAGTAGTAATAAATAAGTGCACGGCCCCAATTACATGAGATTCTTTATACACAGTATAGAAACTGTGTTAGAGAAGAGAAAGCATTAAAGAATAAATGACCTAGGAGACAACACAATGTGGAATGTTAGGTAAATATTCTATAAACATATGGAAGGACTGTATAATCTGACTTAGAAAGTTTCCCATGTTATATAATTTGGAGAAAATAATCCAATAACCATATAATTTAAGATCATTTTTTTCTTATAGAAAACACTATATCAATCAAATGGGGCTCAATATGTGTACATAGTTTTAGTGTGGGATTCTTTGTAAAATATTGAGTATATATTAGCTCATGTAGTGAAAAGTTCTTGAAAACCCGGTCAGACTAGTAGTTGCTACAGAGAAATACAATGATGTACATGCATCACAAACATATATATAATACATATATGTATTATGAGAGTCTTTAACCTTAAGATGGTGTTAAAACTACCAATTATAGCTATTGAACTAATCAAATGTTCCCTGCGTTGTTAGCTGTTAAGTGGCATTGTGGTTACCAATGTTTCTATGAAAATACTAGATGATCTATTCAATAGAAATAAATAAAATTGTGTTGGGTTGGGATTACATTCTTAAATTATATACAGAAATTTTTTCTGATACGAATCTATCTTACTTTTTATCTTCCTATTTTACAATGATCAGTGTGACTCATATTTGCTTTTCCCTGCTGGTTAGGATTCTTGGAGGCTGTGTTTACCATCTGTCTTTATCTCGTCAGTTCATTCTTGTACCACCAGGGGTGCCTTTCTCAAGCCTGGCAAAGATTGACTTTGATGCCAATAGTTCTACTGTAGACTGATACTTATAGGAAGTTATGTGGAAGTAGCAATAATCTTTATTGTTCTTCCAGGCTGTGGTGGCCCTTTCACCAACAGCCTTCCAGATTAATCCAAGGTTATCACAATGTTTTTCACAGATTAGTCTTTCAGTATCAAACTCCCACTTTGTAATCTTACCTACCACTAACGATTAAGTTTGAAATGCTATCAATGTCCATCTATAATTCATATTTGGTACTGGCTTCAAAGCTGTATTTTCTTTCAATGTAACCTGCAGATGCACATATTCGTGAAGGAACAGAAATTTCATATATGCTTACAAGCTCATGCAGTGATTTTTAAATAACTTACTGTGTAGTCCTGGACAAGATTCTTAAGTTGTCCAAATCTTACTTTGCAAATATAACTTCCCCCTGGTATTTCCAGGGCATTAATCCCAGGACCCTTTCAGATATCCAAATCCAAAAATTTCAAGCCTTTCTTACAAAATATTGCATTATTTGTATGGGCTCCCTGATAAAAATTATTTCCAGATTTCTTATAGTACCTTATGTACAACTTATAATGTCTCTGGATATTTATTAAAGTATTTTATTTAGGGAACAAAACAATGATTTTAAAATAGTCTTATAAAGCTCAGTATACATGCAAATTTTCTCAAATCTTTTCAAATCACAGCTTTTTGAATCCATGGGTGTAGAACCCATGTAAACACAGAGCCAACTCTGTTAAATCAAGTTTATATAAATCCAGTTTATAATTTTGTTTTGAATATTAAATTAATCATCATAACACAAAGTACTGAGAATAATAATTGGCATGTAGAAACAAAAATGAATATAATTTTGGTTTTCATAAAAACATAAGGTTTATCATTGTTACTAATGAAATATAAAAATCTTGGAGGTAAGTATATAGTATATAATTATATGCTTTGCATTGAAAGCTAATGCAAATATCACTAGTTACTTACAAAAGAAGGTTATTTCCAGGGAAGGAAGTTATGTTCATCAAAAGTTACTATTTGTGATGGATTAAGTGATTAAATAATATTTTTAAAAGTAGGTAATTATGATAAATTCAGATGCATTGTTCCTATTTTAAATTTGTGACATATTACTAACAGGAGTTAGAAATGTAACCTTGAATCTTTTTGAATTCCTTCCTCTCAAAAGATTTTAACCATCATCAACAAAGAAGACTATTTCATGTTAATACTTTAAATATTACTGAATGGGGAAGTTGCATTTATCTTGAGAAAAACAATTCATGTCTAGCAATTGAAAGATGAGGTACATATACCCATACAAATAGGGAATGTGGAATTATTACTGATCCAGTAATGAGAGAGTTAGAGATTGCAATAGAGATACAGAGTGAGAGAGAGAAGAACCAAAGAAAATTGAGTGTAAATAGAGAACAATCAGGTTTCCATTTCAATATGCTCTTTTGTATCTCCCAGATATTTGATTATCACATACTC